ATCGCAAACAATGCTGTTGCTACTACTGATGTATATCAAGGAGTTATGAGTTGCCTAGGATTTTTAGACAACAAAATTAACAATAGAACTATGTAGGGTAACTTGGGGATAGATGGTGATACTGGGTGAGATGGTGATACGCATTTTTTCGTCCATTGGTCCACAGATGTCGCTGGCAATGCTGAAGTCAGATTCTACAGAGCTAATTTATCATACGTATAGACGACACGCGGGTAAATATTCTTCGCTGTATCGGCAAATTCCAGAATATTATTTCGTGGTTCTTAAAATTTATTTATAGTCGACCGTTTTTCTCCAAAATCATTGTTTGAAATAACAGGTGAGTTATTGTTTGTGCATACACTTATGATTTAAAGTTCATTTGCGTGTTATAAAATAAAGGCATATGATGTACTGCCTTAGTGTAAAATCATTCACCATCTCTTCCATCGAAACGGGATAGATGGTGAATCCTGAAATGGGACACATGGTGAACTTTGACTACGGATATTATGCACAATAACATTGCGGTTTTTTCCGCAGATTACTATGCCACCATTTTATAAAAGGAAACGGGGCTCCACACGAGGTGAATGGACAGAAGAAGCATTGAAAAATGCAGTGAGTGCCATTGAAAATGACGGTATGAGTCTAAATATGGCATCAAAATCGTTTGGAGTGCCGTGGTCGACACTGAAGCGAAGAATTACAAACAATTGCCTAGAAAAGAAATCTCTTGGTCTATCATCACTGTTAGGCATCCAAAATGAGAAAAAAATTGTGCAGCATATAAAAAAAATGCAGAAATATGGTTTTACACCTACAAGGAATGAAGTGCGGTCAATGGCATATAGGTTAGCTGAGCAATTAAAAATCAAACATAATTTCAATAAAACAACGGAAATGGCTGGCATTGATTGGTTGCACTTATTTTTAAATCGCAATTCTGAGCTTTCTATCAGAAAATCAGAGGGGAAAATCAAGCTCTTGCTCAAAATATGAACAAGGAAAATGTCATAAAGTACTTTGATTTACTTCAGGATATTTTAATAGAATATAATTTGATTGGCAAGCCCGGTAATATTTTCAATATTGATGAAACTGGGCTCCAATTAAACAATAAACCCGGGTATGTTGTGGCTGCTAAGGGCTCTAGAAGTGTTTCCAACGTGACTTCTGGAGAAAAAGGGGAAACCATATCAGTTATTGCCTGTTGTAACGGTGAAGGTGTATTTCTTCCTCCAGCGTGTGTCTTGAAGGGGAAAAACGAAAAACCGGAGTACAAAGATGGAATGCCGCCCGGGTCAGCAATCTATATGTCACAGAAGTCAGCTTATGTGACAAGCGAGATCTTCTATTTATGGCTAAGAAATCATTTTTTGCCTAGGAAACCAGTAGGAACGGTATTAATGATATTGGATGGTCACAGTTCCCATTGCAGCGCAGTGGACATGCTTGAATTTGCAGAGAAAAACAATATCATTTTACTGTGCTTACCCAGCCATACCACACACTACTTGCAGCCACTGGATAGAGCATTTTTCAAATCTTTCAAGACGTTCTATTACAATGCATGTAATGTATTTATGAAAGCAAATCCTATGAGGAAAATAAATAGACTCGTATTTGGTAGATTGTTAAGTGAAGCGTGGATAAAAGCAGCCACTCCAAGCAATGGGATATCAGGGTTCCATGCCACAGGCATTGTTCCATTTAATCCTCATGTCGTTCCTGACTATGCCTTTCTAACAGATGTCCCACCTCAGGGAGAAAATTGTCAACCAGCTCTTTCAGATCCGCCACCCACAACACAGGCAGGGCATTTGCAGCCAAGTCCTTCACATCAGCCATCAACAACCAATAATGTTGCAGGAAATTCCGTTTCCTCTGGACCGGGGTGTTCAAATTTAGTTTTAATTGAGTTACCACAAGCGGCTAGATACAACAATAACAACTGCAGTGATCCGGTTTCAAATAACTCGAGCGATGATGCTATCACACCTGGCAAAATGTTGGATCAAATTTTTCCAGTACCCAACTTACCTCGTCTTGAAGCGGCTCGCAAAAGGGCAAGAAACTTAGCCTCAGTTTTGAATACTGAGAATAACATTAAAATTTTGAAGGAAAAAATACAGGTAAAATGCAACAAAGAAGTAATTAAGAACAAGGTTAAACAAACCAAAAATAAGACCATAAAAAAGAAATTAGAAATGCTTGACAAATCCGATGAGGAAAGCGAACCGGATCTAGACGATGAGGAAGAAGTCATCGATGATGATGATAATGACTACTGTGTAGGATGCAGTGAAGAGTACAAGGCCACTAAGAAAAGTGTTGACTGGATTAAGTGTGTAAGATGTGAGCGCTGGTTGCACGAAGATTGCACGAAATATGGAAACTACTGTGATACCTGTGGAAAATTTGTGCTCAAACGCAAGAAAATATGATGTAATGGTGTCAAAGTCCATGTTTCTCGAGTCACCATCTCACCCACATATCATTCACCAACTAACCCATAGTAGTATGGGTGAGATGGTGAATCATATATTTTTTTTATTATGTAATATTTACTTTCCTAAACCAAATATAGTTTCGTTTATATTATTATCTTTTAAGTTTATCCATATATAATGCCGTTCCTTGTTCAGTTTTGTTGAAATAAATTTTTACGAAAAAATACAGCCATTTAAAGTTTTGTTCACCATCTCCCCCCAAGTTACCCTATATTCAACAATTTGGANCCAAATATAGTTTCGTTTATATTATTATCTTTTAAGTTTATCCATATATAATGCCGTTCCTTGTTCAGTTTTGTTGAAATAAATTTTTACGAAAAAATACAGCCATTTAAAGTTTTGTTCACCATCTCCCCCCAAGTTACCCTATATTCAACAATTTGGAAAATTATAGATAAGACTTTAGTCAACCAGATTTTAAATACTATTTCAGGTGATTGTGATCGAAATATACAGGGCGTTTCTCATAAGAACCGACACAGAGCAGGGATATGAAGGTGAAACCAAAATATGGTGATTTAACGCAACATACATTTATACGAAGCTGCACCGCCGAGAACTTATAGGCCTTGAAAGTGGGGTTTCAAATTTCGAAAAAAAATCAATATCTTAGTCATACTTAGTCAACTTTTTGGATGCTAGATCGTAAATATAAACCCCTTATATTAAATTACTTTCTTAAGAAGTAAACAATTAGTTTTATTATAACTACTAGACGTATACAGTGTTGTGTCGTGTTTCGCATAAGAACCGACACAGAGCAGGGACATGTAGGGACACCCAAAATATGGTGATTTAACGCAACTTACCTTTATACTAAGTTGAGAAGTTGTAGGCCTTGAAAATGGAATTTCAAATTTCGAAAAAAATCAATCTCAGTTATTCTTGAAATCAGAAAAACCAAATTTGGTACACGATGTGAGTGTACCAAGAGCATTAATCGACAGTAAGTAGAGTTTAATTGAAGCATTTTAAAGAGTGTATAAGGGATGATGCACCATTAAAATATAACAGACTTTTTTAACCCGTTGGCGGACTTAATTAAATTAAAATTATTACTTTATTTTATGGCGAATTTACTTCTAAAATTATTCTTAGTCTCGTTAGTTTT